ATGAATGTGAGAGAGAGAGAGAGAGAGAGAAGCTAACAACGTGAGAAAATAAGACTAGATAGTTTATTATTATCATGTTTTACTGTATGAAATAAACTGATTTTCAAAGTTAAACTTTTAATGATGTGAGCGTATACTATTAAATCTTTCTATTATATAACCTCTGAATTAGTATGTACTATAGTTAACCTCTCATGAAATAATTTGAAACGGCTTATAGTCGTTAAATATAAAATGTTTAACGAGTTAATCTACTTCTCTAATGCGTTAAATCTAAACATTAAACGAGTGTGAATGCAATTTTTATCGTTTCTTTTTCGAAATGATGTTCGAATCCGTTAAATTTTGAAATTGAACTCATTTAAATGTGTTAAATATGAAATATTTGATTATTTTCATATTTAACGTATTCGAACGATCGTTAGCCGCTTCAAATTATTTCATAGGAAGTGAAAATTCCTATCTTAGAATGTTTTATATTCATTTTCATTTCCTCTTTCACTCTTCATTCATGAATATATTTTCTTTCTTCGTCTCTATACTACACTTCAAATACTATGTCACTATTATTTCAGATATTGTTCTTTTGTCTTGAAAAAATGTAACAGATTTTCTTAGATTTAGATCTGGAAAAAAAATGAATCTAACCTATTAACACTAGTAAATGTTTTGGCTTTTCCGTATAGATAAGAATTTACATAGTGAACTCTAAGATTCTGATTGTTTAAAAAACTCGTTCTTTCAAACTTAGTCAGTTTGCCACAGTCATCACTTGAACATATTACTGCTGTAGTGCCAAAAATGTCCTTGACAACATATGAAAAACAAGTTTTACATAATATCAACGAGCCAACACTAGTAAATACTTTATAGATAGGTGATTATAATATGTACATGTTGAATGTCTATCTCTTGTTCCAAATGCATCGATATTTGATTAAACTTCCATTGATTAGAAAAAAGAATTTTTGTTTTTCAAACACTAAAAGAAGTTCATAAAACAGTAGTGTCATCTAAATTTCACCTTAAAATCGATACCAAGAGTGAAAAATTAATTTTTTTTTTTTGTTAAGTATTAATTAAATATTTTCATTTAAGACATTCTCAATAATAAATCACAATTATTTTATCTACTGATGAATAGAAAAATGATCGAAATTGAAACTAAACTCGAAAAGAAAAAATTTATTTTCTATGCTCTAAATACGTGAACGAAAATCGAGTCTTCAGTGTAATCAATTTCTCCCCTTTTCCAGTCATTTGTTTATGTTCAGACTTTGTACAAATATTGTTCTATCTCTATACTGCATCTGTGGTTTTAACGCCAAATAGTGTCATCTTTTCTAATCTTGTTATAGGTTTTCTCGGTAAAATCTATTTTCTTCTCAATTCAGAAACACTTTTAAGAAAAAATAAGGCTATATTCGGAATCAGCGCTTTGAGTTGTATCGAATCAAATAAAACACAATAAGTTTCGGATCGAGCAACTATCCATGAAAATTTTTTCCCATGAATAAATATGTAAGACTGCTTTTCGAGAAAAATGATCTTAAAAAGCATTACAGGTGACTAAGAGATGATAATTATTCACAAAAAAAAAAATGGTCAACGAGAAAAAAATTCTGATGTCCGCCTGTGCTTGGAAAAGTGCTCACTGTGCCCTTCTATTCTGATGTTGGTGGGATTAATAAAAAAATTTTTGTTCAAAAAAATAAAAAATAAAAAATAAAAAGGTAAGAGTCACTTAACAACATTTTTTCATTCTTTCTTTCTGTTTCTTTTTTTCAAGTTTGGACGTATACTTTTTCTTCGTCTTCTGATTCCTTAACATGCCGAGTAAGTGATAAAATTTTTTATTTTATCTTTCAAAAGATCATAGAAAAATACTGATAAGTTCATTCATAAATGTTAATAACTCTCTTAAACTCTCTTTTCAAAGGCTTTTCCGTTTCGGCAGAGTCCATCACGTTATATTAAGCTCATCATATTATGTTAAGTTCATTGCTTTTTTTCAAGAATAAATTCTTTTATGCTGATGTGCACATTCTCATTATCATTCTTAAGTTGATGATGTCTTACCTTTTAGTGACGTTACTAAATCTATCCTGCTGAGTTTTTGGTAATATTGTTAATTATAAGGTGATACTTCTTATTCTTTCGATTTTCTAGAATAAAAGTATATAAGTATTTTTTTTTTTCATGTTCATCAGATTATTTAATAATAACCCACTTTTTCTATATGTAATAGTTTCAATTAAAAGTATTATCTGAATGACTAAAAATTTTTTGTTTTTTTGATGAGTATTGTTTTTTTTCTATGTAAAACATTTCAATGGGATATTAAGTCTTAACTATAGAAATTATTATTGTGTGTGCATATATACACTATCAAATTGAGTTGCGTTTTGATTGCTTGTCACTTACAGAGCACTTGTCCCATTCATTCTTGTTTGAGATAGTTGATTAAAATATTTTTGTATGAATTCTTGAATGAAAAACAATTTTGATACCATTTCATAAGAAACTAACAGTTTAAATTAGAGATATTGCGAATTTAGACTCGGGTATATGAGAAATTGCACGATCCGAGAGAAGAAAGAGAAGACAATATTTTTTCTTTTTAATAAGTAAACATTTTTCCATCAAACGAGATATTGTACAGTTTTGAACATTCTCATTCTGTATTTGTTCTAAGGGTATCAATAGTTTTGATCACCAGGTTAATTAGTAGACAGACAACAAAAAGAATATAAAAAGAATATATACAAAAAGGAATGTATATACAACAAGATAAATGAACAGAACAGAGATTTAATTTAATTTCTTTTCGTTTCTTTTGATTCTTAGATCATAATGACCATGAAATAATTTTGATACTCCTACGAACGTTAGCAGACGTTAGAAAATGTTTTTCCAAAAAAAATGTGTTTGCTTGAGTAAATTTACAAATATAGCACATGACAACGTTTCTCCGGAGAAAGCACGGATTAGATCTGTGTAAATATTGCTCTAAGAGATAAAACGAGTTCCCACGTATTCCAATTTAACGAGTTCATGTGCGTACGTAAAACACTATATTTATTCTAAAAGTTAACAAGTTCGAACGGCTTAACAGTTTATATAGTTTACTCGTTGTAACGCGTTTTACATGTTGAAGTAGTATATTTAATCGGTTCGAACGAGTTTGAACATAAAAAAACAAATGTATATTTCGGACGAAAGGTTATTTTAACTCGTTTATATGAGTAGAATACCGTTTAATCTGTTCAAATTCGTCTAGTGATAACTCATGAAAATGTTCAAGCGTTAAAACGCGTTTAAACAGCGATTTAGCAATCATCGTTTTGTTTTGCATAATCAAATGATATATAAGTGCCATGCCATTTCATGCAAAATATACGATATATGTGCTTAGAAATTTTTCTAAGTTTTTCTCTTGTAACAAATTATTGTAAGAGACTAGTCTGCCATAATGGTGCTGATGAACAGAACCTAGTAAACCATAACTTCATTGATCCTAAACAGAACAAAAAGTACCGGAAAAGCACAAGAAAATGAAAGCACAGTAACGGATTAGAATTACATTTTGAATCTGAAACTTTTTATTCTAATGAATGTAAACGTGTTCGAAAAACTTTTGAAAATCAAACAAGTTTGAACACTTTACGGTTGAGAGAAGCGTTAGCACGCATTACAAGCTTTAACTATTATGCATTAAAAAATATAATGCAGAAAACTCTTTTTAGAATAACGTTTGATACAAAACGATAACGAGATGCGGTTTTTGCCAGTTTATAGAAGACACTGGAAGAAATCTGTAAAAATAACAAGTCCAAAATCCTGTCTGTAGGTGGTGCATCTGATCGATTTTTTGTAGGCAACGCTGCCGTTTCCTGGGTTTCCATAGCAACCTATAGTTCCAACATATGCAGAACATACACTGACATCTATGATCCACATCCACGCAAGTCCGAGATCTCCACCTATCACCATTCGGGTGTGGTAGAATTTCTCCGAAGGCACCCTTATCAGGTGACCTTGATGTCTGGTAATCTCGGAAGTAAATTGAGCATAGGTTTTCGACTATTCTAAATCTCGAGGCAATGTTTGATTTTAGAAAAATTTCAAAAACCTAGCGGAAAACTTAGTGGAAACCACAAAAAAATATACTCATGATATCTTCTTAACCTGATCTGTACTTAAGATCGGTAAAAACATTCCCTTACTTACGAGGGAACATTCCCAAGTGAGATACTCCGATTTTGTTCAAACCTGGCAATTTATATGTAATCAAGGGCGCTGATTACGAATATAATAGCCGTTTGTGCCCGTAGACCTTTCCTAGCGTTTCTCTAGAGAACCCGTTTTCTAGAAATCTCCCAAAATCCTAGTAATGTTTTATCAACATGTCGGGATAGTAGCACGAAAATTTTGCATCAAAATGAGACGCTTCCCAGCTCTCCACGACCTTTCTTTGCAAAGTTACAGAATTTACAAGAGAAGCCCTAAATGTTCATTGTCCACTCAGAGATATAGAAAGAAAAAGGGAAATTAATTTAGGGCTTCTCTTGTAAATTCTGTAACTTTGCAAAGAAAGGTCGTGGAGACCTGGGAAGCGTCTCATTTTGATGCAAAATTGTCATGCTACAATAAAACCTGACCCGAAGGTTGGGTACGGGTCGGGTATGGGTTCCGTTTTTTTTTTATTTATCCGAAAATCGGAAGGTTTTAGTGGAAAACCAAGATTTTAGCTAAAATACATGAAGTTTTAAAAGATAGTTACTTGAGAACGTCATGATAGTATATCATCTTCAGCTGAAAAAGAAATGTTTTTAGCTGGAAACGAAAAGGAGATAATTTTTAGGCATTAGTACTCTGATATGTACGTGTGACAGGATGTACATGGAAAAAGAAAAGATTTTTCAGTATTGATACAATACTCGTTGCATCTCTTTTCATTCTATATACTGTTGTTTTTCTTTACTATCTAGCATCGTAAAATGTATAAGTCGACAAACAGTGAACCATTATCAGAAGATATGGTGGCACGATATCTATTACGTAAACCAAATTTTCTAAAGCGTTGGTTTAAAGACAATGCTACAAATGATTTATTACACGAATGTATTCGAATTAAACAGCAAAAAGAGTATTTAACAAAACCACGAGCATCCATTACCCATGAAATGTTCAATAATATTTTGCAAGGTACGTATAATTAATGAATCAAAGTAGATATTAAGAGTATAGGAACTGAAAGTTGAACCGGTTTTTAAAACATTATAGTGAAGAAAAAAATAGTATTGACTTGTTAGTATAGCTGTACTTAATCAACTATAAAATTGTTCATTATCTATACCTCAAAATCTGTGTTGGTTAATAATCAAATTTGATTTATTTTAGGTAATCGTTCTAATCGTGAAACAAGCATTAGCCATCCCAGTGTCGATTATATGAATTTAAATGAACACGAATTATTTACTGAACTGATTCGTGATATAGCCAATGAGTTAAATGTCGACGTTGTCTGTCATAAAATATTGACAAATGTATCAATATTGACTAATAGTGATCGAGGTAGTCTATTTCTTGCACGTGGTCCAATGGATGGAAGATATTTAATATCAAAATTATTTGATGTTACTGCTGGTAGTACATTAGAACAATCACTACACTCAGAGGATCAACAAATCATTATACCATTTGGAAAGGGAATTGCGGGTCACGTAGCATTAACGAAAGAGTATGTCAATATTCCGGATGCCTATGAAGTGAGTCGTCTCGCTCTTTTCTTATCAATTTCTATTTTTCTGATTTGGCACACTTTTTAAGGTCATTTTTACCACTATTTTTTGGAGAATTCTATCATTCAGCAAAATTTAAGAACTATACTAGTAATTGATATTAAGATGGAACAATTTTTTATTTGAGTTATTACCTACTCTCGTTTTCCAATCGTCAAATAGTACATATCGAAATTTTATGAAGAAATGTGCAAATCTGAGTCATTTATGGTTGCAGTAGATACTTTCTCTTGGTATGATACACATTCATCACAATTGCTTTGAAAGATCACACGTAACTTAGTAAAACAAGACCAGTTTGACTAAGTTTTGAATGAAGTTTCGTTAAGCAAAGACTCGTATTAATTAAAGTATAGTACAACAACATTTAGAATCTCTTTTATGAGCTGTATGTACTTGCTGATAATCATGGTAGTTGTAATGAGAAGGCGATACATCTGTCTGTCTCTGTCTTACATGTTGATAATTTTTATTTCCATATCTGTATAAATTTCGATCATTCGGATCCAACCGTTTATGACTTCTCTCATGCGCATCCATATGATGTTCAACATCAGCACTACGTCTAACATAATGACTATTTCCCACTTGATTTGTTGATCGTTTTGTTACTCGATTTGTAGTACGATAAGATGGTTGAGCTGGTGGTGGTGGTGGTCGTGATGGATATTTTTGTTTTTTACTATTTCCTGAACAACATCCCTTTGTTTTAACAACTTCTACTTGTCGATCAGTTTTATGAACACGATATGGTCCACTATAGGGTGTACGTAATTTATATTCATGTAAATCACCATCATGATCATAATTTGGTTCACGTGCTGAATGATAGCCATGATGTTGTTGTTTCATGATTGTATTGTAGAAATTAACTAATTTGCGAGTTATGTTATTAAATGTGTAAGAACATCGAATTATTTAATATATTAACCATTTTTCTACCTGTATAATGCTTTTACTTATACAATTGAGGACAAATAGAAAGTAAAAACAGAAAAATTCAATTTCTTTCCATTCTTTATTCTCACATAATGTTGAGATGTTTTCACTTGTATTAGTCGACCAGCAACCCTGAGATCAAAATCATTCACCAACACTAGAAAATAATAACAATCATAATAATGATGCCATTAACTCGCATACATACAGTACAAGTTTTATATACAAAATTTTTTAATATTGATATGTTAAAGAAAAGAAGAAAAACGAAAAACAATTTGATTTTTTCTTTTCTTCGATTAAAATTATTTTTTTTTATTCAAATATCCTACTGAGCTTTCGATTATACTCAGAAAACATAATGTTCAATGAAACGTTTATACACTCTTATATTTAACAAATATGTCATTTTTATTTTATTTGTACGTTGAGAACGAGATTGTTTTAAAAATATTCTTAGAAACATTATTAATTCTATTTTTTAATGCAATTTTAAGATGTTTGATATTTTTTGATCGGTTATCATCAATTTAGCGTAAACTTTGAACTATTCTATTCAGATTTATGAAATAATTTCAATAATGTATTTACTTCATTATCAAGAAAAGACGAAAAAATAACAAAAATCGATTACACTTTATTGTTAATAATTAATCATAATAATTTATTTTTTTTATTGCTCTTGATATTTAATATGCATTTCTGTAACTTTGACAAAAATTTAAAAAAAAACTTTAGCTTGTAGTTAATAATAAAAAATGTCAATTTTCAATAAAATATGAAGTTCGTGTAATAATTTAATAACTTTGTCCTATTTTAAAATATTTCTTGTCAGTATACCAACGCATTGTATATGAGTTTTAATTCGTTGATTGATATACATTTAATTTTAAAATACGAGAAAAGTGACAAAAGAACTATGAGGTAATTTTATGATTTTTTTTGTCATATAAGCTAATATTCTGTTTAATTAAAAATTCAACGAATGAAAATTGTTAAAAAATGTCGATATTTTAGTAGATCATCATATTAGAGATTTACTTGGATTAATAAAATGTAAACCTATTCGATGTTTAAAAAACTGATCCAAATTCCAAATAAATAATAAAAACAACTGCCAACGAGCAATCATCTGATAGTAAGAATACACCAGAGTAAAATCGTTTATGTATGATGAATTCATGAAGTAGTAGATTAAAAAAAAGTAATAAGGAATGTAAAGATGTTTGTTCATTTTGATATAGGAAGATCTGTTTCAAGTGTAGAGCAAGCGATGATCAATTGATATAGTTGCTTAGAATCGCACATTTCAAGTAGAGGTGACTCTCAAACCGAAGAATAATATGAAATTGAAATTTCCATTTCAATTTTGATATACGCAGTAAAAGGAATCGAATCTGGCAGATTCATACGATTCGAATCACATCATTTCTAGAGTTGAATCGGAGTTAGTTTACTATAGTAGACGTAAGAGTGAACCTGCGAAAGGCATGAGATTAGATATAACTGGAAAGAATTCAAACTGCTTTATAAATTCATAGAATTTTCTTACATCGGTCAAAGTTTAACGTAAATATCAGAAAATTGCACACTTTTCGAATGCGATTGATTCAAAATAATCTGTAGGGGTTTGAAAAGGTTTCCTCAACTAGGTGTCCAAAAGGTATAATAGCGATCTTAAAAGTTTAGAATTTTAAGAAAATGGAAGCCAGATTTGATGAAAATATAATCATTTTCATTCGTTAATCAAAACTGTTGAACAATTTTAAAGCACAAATTAAGTTAGCTCTTTTGTTTTCTTTTCAAAGAAAATATTACATTTATGAAAATGACTAAAAATCAATTTTAGTAAAAGAAAATTGTCATGTTATAGAAAATGGATCGACAAATGAGCGGAAAACCTAGAAAATCTAGGAACCTTTTTATTATTAAAGAAATTATTATCTTATTTGCTAGAAGTAGTGTATAAACTGTCAAAGAGCTTTTGTTAATCACACTCTACATTCATTTTTGTAATGTAATACTTACTTAAATGATAAATAACAGAATGATTCTTTTTTTTTTTTATTCTAGGATCCTCGATTTAATAAAGAAGTTGATATTAAAACCGGTTATCGTACCCATAGTATATGTTGTATGCCAATTTTGAATAAAGATAATGTTGTTATTGGTGTAGCACAAATAATTAACAAAAAAACGGGTACACATGAATTTACAAATAAAGATTTAATTGTAAGTATATAATTTTATTTAATATTTTTATCTATAGAATAAATTTCTAAAATATATATTGTTTTTTCAATTTTAGGTATTTCGAAATTATTTAATATTTTGTGGTATTGGTTTATCAAATGCACAATTATTCGAATTATCTATTCAAGAATTTAAAAAGAATCAGGTAAATTAATTGTAAATACATTATTATTTCTTTTCTTTTCTTTTTTGTTTTGCATATCTAATAAAATTTTTAATGAAATTTATTCAGTCAGAAGTCATTCTTCTCATAATGTCTTAGTTTATCTACTTGAAAAATAAAAATAAAATGTAATCATCTAGAAAATATTGAGACAGCTATCATGTAGACTAAATGTGATCTTAAGTTAATAATCCTATTAGTTAATATGTCAGAATAACATCCTGTACTCTAACCATTCCATTACTGTGATAAAATGTTTCCGTTATTGATCAAAGAAAAAAATAAAATGAATCTCTAATTTTTATAAAAAAACAAAAAAACATACTGATTTATTTATATTCTCAAGTTTATTTAGAAAACAAATTTAAATTATTTTTTTTCAAAAATAAAATAAAATATCTTTAGATAAGACGTTTACACTCTCTCTCTCTCTTTCTCTCTCCTCGATTCGTTTTGTTGAATATTGACTTAATGAAAATTTGTTTAATATTAAATAAATTAGTAAATAGACTCGTTTTATCTATCTAAAAAAGAATCATGCAACGAATATAAATTATAATTGTTTTTTTGTTTTTGTTTTATATATCTACTTGAGTAAGAAAAAAAAAAGTGCAACAAAAATTCAAATAATGTCGATGTAATTATAAATTCTTCTCCTTTTTTTTCTTTCTTCTTCTTCTTCTTGAAGCATTTGTAAACGAATAACTGGACTTTCATAATAATAATAAATTCAAATCGAATAAAATTTTTCATATTTTAAAATGTACTATGTGGAAAAAAAGATAAAAATATGACATGAGATTGTTTGGTAAATGACATACGATAGAACTGATAAATTATTTCCTTAGATAGAGACCAATTATTCTTTCTATTTTTGAAATAATTCCTTTCCTCTATTAGAATACAAATGGTTCACTATTACCTTTTGAGAATATATCGTTTTTTGGCTTTATTTATCAGAGAGTGGTCAATACTTTTTTTGTTTCTCTGTATATATAATTTCCTTTAACAACTCTATATTTTTAAAATTGAACTATTTTTTAGCAAATTCAACCATATGGATCTAATAAGAGAAAAAATTGAAAAAATAAAATAATTGTCCTTTTCTCTAAACATAATCTAGAAGGTAAATCTAGAGTAAATCGTATGTCAGTAATAGTTAAACGATAGTAGTAGTAAATGAGAAGAAAACAGAAGTAGTTAAAATCGACAGAAGAATAACAATGATATGGACATGTAGTAAATAGATGACGTTTTGACAATAAATGTGACATAGATTAGAAAGGAAAATACACTTATTCTTTTGATTGTCAAATGTGAAAGAATGAGTTGAGTGACGACCAAAACTACTCTTCAAAACGAAACGAAGACGTAAAAAGAAAAAAGACGAGAATAAAAATAAGAAAATAAAAGAAACCCATTTAAAAAGAATAAGAGACAGTTGTTTATGTTCTTTTTTTTATGGTCGTACACACACACACACGCATACACACACAACATCTAATTTTTAACAGAGAAAGTGAGGAAAAATATAGAAGTAAAAGAGTCTTATACTATTGTTTCGTTTGTATAATGACAATAATACTAATAATAATACTAATAAATTTTAAAATCTTAACATATTCATGAAGTGGATAAAATGAAATGAAAAAAATATATATAATTTCATTTTTGTATAAACAATCGTCATCATCATCATCATCGGAAGAACGAGAAAAAATAAAAAATAAAACAAGTGATAATCAACAGTAACAAATAGCAGCATGTAATATTAAATAAACGCCTTGCTGAGCGATAATAATAGAAAAATCATACATTATGCTTTTGGTTAGTTACGCAATTATGTCTTTACAAAATACAATTAAATCTATTACTAGTCTTAAAAAGTTAACAATAAATCCAACTCAAAATAATGAACATCATTCTTCATCATCAACAACATTAAATTGTCAACAAATTTCTCATTATTCATTGGAAAAAGAATTTAATTATAATCATCGTAATGATAATCAAGAGTATACGTCATCTCTATTGCATAGACTTAAGGTTAGTTAAGACATATTGAAAATAATTTTTAGAGAAAACTAGAGAAATATAAACAAAATTCAAAAATATTATCATATGTTTAGGGGGGGGGGGGGGGNATAAAAAAAAACAAACAAAAACACAAAAAAACACCAACCCCCCCCCCCCCCCCCCCCCCCCCCCCCCCCCCCCCCCCCCCCCCCCCCCCCCCCAAAAATTCTAGTTCACCGCTTGTCCACGTAACTCCTATGGCGGAGGTGCAAGGGAGAAAAGGCGGCTCCGGGAGCTTTCTGGAGCCGTTGAAATGCTTTCTGATGCTTGAGATGTTCAGCATCCGATGCTGATGCGATGCTATCCGATGCTGATGCGATGCTCTCCGATGCAGAGTGATGCTCTTCAATGCTGATGCGATGCTCTCCGATGCTAAGAAAGAAAAAAGTTATTTTGTTTTGACTTCAAAAAGTCGTAGAGAATTCGGAGACATTTTAAATCAAAGAAAAAACTGTTTTCTACATTTTAAGATCTGTTCAGATTCTAGGTAAACTACCCTCATAAAATTACAATCCAAATGCTGAGACCTGCTTTTTAAGAATTGAAACCAAAGATGTAGATCTCAGCATTTTGACCACAGTTTTTTTAAAATAGGTTTCCTAGGGTCTGATTAGATCTGAAAATGTAGAAAACAATTTTTTCTATAATTTAAAACGTCTTTGAACTCTTTACAACTTTTAGTTTCAGAGACAGATGAAACTAGTTACATTGATTTTGTTTAATCCACTAAACAAAGTCAATGTAACTAGTTTTATCGGTTTTGTTTTATATTGAATTTTTGAAAAGAATTGTTAACCGGTTCGCGTTTGTTTGAAAAGAACGTTGAGCAGTTTCTGTTTTTAGAACAAGAACGTTTAATCAGTTCTTTTTACTAGTTCTCAGGAACTTTAGGAACTGGAACTATTCTACTCTTACATATGGTTAACGTTAATCTAGAATTGCATTTAATATATAGTAAATCAATGGGACTATACAAGTGATCTTTTCATTTTATAACAGTCACTTGAGAAATGAACGTTATTAACGTTTTTATATAGTATGAGACAATGGATTTTTCTTTAAAACGATGAATTTATCGTAATTATCTCGAATATGTTTCTATATAGTGTAAAATGGTGGATATATTTCTAATATTTGAAAAATATTAACATATAAAAAATGATCATTTCTCTTTTAGTTATTAGTTACATTGGCTCGTAATTTATTTCGTGAACAAAGTGATTTAGAACATTTGATACGTAAAATAACTGTTGAATCACAAGGTCTTTTACAATGTACGCGATGTTGTGTATACATACTCGAAAGTCCAGCATCAAAACCAGAGGTAGTATTTTGTGTTGTAGACAAAAACAATAGATTTACATTTCTATTTAACGTTGTTCTCTATTTAAAGGAAGTTCGGTTTTCGAAAGGTTTCGATATGATCTATGAACAAGAATTTAAAGTAACAACGTAAGTTTAATGTCAGTTATTTGTTTTTCTCATAATAATTAAAAATATTATTTGGTATTTCTATTTGTAGTAATGATTTTCTTGATAATTCTCGATATGCTAAAATAGCATACCATGTCGCCACATCAATGGAAACAGTCAATTTGAGTGATATTGGAAACGATGCAACATTCACAAATTTAGTAAGATATACTCCTTCTTTACGCTATTTTCCACAGATATTTTCATGTCAAATATCGAATAGACACTATGGACTCCTATGTACTTTTGTAAAAACCTCCAGAATTCGTAAGAAAGAAAAATAAAGTTTGACGTTTAAAGGTCCCTTTAACTGCTAGATTATTCCAGTTTTTACACTTTCTATTACTGCTCTTTCCTTCTCTCTGGCGTTCAAATGAACGAACGGACATTCCTCTGTCTGTACGTTATTTCATTTTACTATTTTATAACAATATTTCTTAAAAATTAAAGATCAAAGGTTTTCACATTTTTTCCTCCCGATGAGATAATGCTGACAAGTTTTTCTAATATATTCATGATAAACTTCTTGTTTAGCTAACAGCGCAAGGTGATGATAATTTTATTTTGAAAAATATTTTGTGTATTCCAATATTTGATAAAGATGGAAAAGTCATTGGTGTTGCACAAATGATGAATAAAATAAATGGACGAGTGTTCACCGATGAAGATGTTGCCATTATCGAAGTATGATGAACTAATAATTTCATTAGAAAAAAAATTAATTCTATTCATTTTTTTCTTCTTTTATAGGCTTTTTCCATATTTTGTGGTCTAGGAATAAATAATACTCAAATGTATGAAAATGTTATGCGTTTAACGTGTAAACAAAAAGTAGCATTTGAAGTATTGAGTTATCATGTTACTGCAAGTGACGAAGATCTTTCAAGAATAACAAGTGTTCAATTACCAGATGCAAATCAATTACGACTTTACTCATGGGATTTTAATGATATGATATTAACAGATGATGAAACTGTTTTAGCATCAGTAAGAATGTTTGCCGAATTAGATTTAATGAAAAAATTACAAATTCCACATGATGTAAGTTTGAATCAATAGAAATAGTGAATGAATATAAAATCATAACTTTTATACAATTACTTTTTTTCTTTTTCAAGGTCATTTGTAGATGGGTGTTAAGTGTAAAGAAGAATTATCGACCAGTTATCTATCATAATTGGCGACATGGATTCAATGTAGCACAAACAATGTTTGCCATGTTAACAGTAAACTCTTTTCTTCATATTTTTTGTTGTTTTTCTTCTTAAATTAAAAAATAACTAAAAATCATTTCAATGGCGGATCCAGCCTGCGAGCGGTACGAGCGGCCGCCCGTATCTTTTACCCAACAAACTGTTTTTTTTCCAACAGAACTCTCTTAGAATAGTTTGTTTTTATGACGACCGCACATATCTTGCACTTTTATCGTATACCGCATGTACCAAAGAATATTTCTGGATCCGCCACTGAATCATTTTTAAATATCTTGATGTTTATTCGATAAACTAACATACTCTTCTTTTGTTTTTTGTAAAATTATAGACGGGTGGAATGAATGTGTGTATGAATGATTTGGAACGTTTAGGTTTATTAGTCGCTTGTTTATCACATGATTTGGATCATAGGGGAACAAATAATGCATTTCAAGCAAAAGTTGATGCACCATTAGCCAAACTATATTCAACATCAACATTAGAACATCATCATTTTGATCAATGTATTATGATTGTGAATAGTGAAGGAAATAATATATTTCAATCATTGTCAGCTGATGATTATAAAACAGTTATTAAATATATTGAAAGTGCTATTCTATCCACAGATCTTGCACTTTACTTTAGGTAGTCATGTTATTATTTATTTTTTCTCGTTCTTCCGATGATGATGATGATGACGATTGTTTATACAAAAATGAAATTATATATATTTTTTTCATTTCATTTTATCCACTTCATGAATATGTTAAGATTTTAAAATTTATTA